GCTGATGCGCTTGAAATTGTCTGGCCTGGCGCGGCCGCACGGCCGCGGGGCTGAGGGCGGAGGGTCGCCGTGAGCTCGAGGCCAGCCTGGGCTACCTGGGAAGACCTGGTCTCCAAGACCCGAAAAACCCACCAGAAAGAGTGCCTCAGAAAGCTGCCAGAAGTGCACGCTAAGTGACGTGTTGGGGAGCCGGGTCTGGTTAGCTTTGTCTTTCACGAGCTGACCTGGGCAGACGGCTCACCTGCCCTCCCGAGGCGCGCTGTCCCGCGCTGTCCCCATGGCATCGTCGCAGGTCGCCGGGCGTGCTCACCCTGCTGCGGGAGGCGTGGGCTGGCGGAGGCCACCGTGAGAGGCCGAGTATGGGCGCACCTTTGCTTTATTAAAAGTTAAAGCAGCTCCCACAGCTCTCGTTCCAGTGAGATACCTACATTTTGAGCTCATGCACTCTTGGGTTATGTAACTTATTTTCTCTACCTCTGTATTCTTCGTAGCAAATGTTTTTGCCTCTGAAGAGATTCCTTTTCATGATATTGTCTGGCTTAAAACCACGATTTTCTTTTGCCTACACGCAGAGTTTATATGTATGTGAGAAAATTGCCTCATCTTCCAATATATGCTTATGTTCTGGATTGGTCTTTCGAAATTCTAAAGAACGGTTCGCCCTTTTTGAAAAATAATGAAGGGCCATCAAGAATGCTAACTTCACATGCTGTACTGTAGACACCAGTCACGCTTACCTGTAGACAGAGTACAGTGTTTTAATGTGTAGCCAGCAAGTAACTTTACAGAGAAAATTGGTTTTAACTCTTGCGATTTTAATAGGTTGCTTCTTCCGATGGGAAAAGTATTTGTGAGACCCAAAATGTAGGTTCCAGCCCTGGTTCTTTCCCTTTAGAACATTCATGTTTTAGGGGATCTGTACCTCCCATTGCTCACATCCATCCATTAGGTCTTCCGCACCCCCAAATGAGGCATTGACTTGCAGAAGTTTTCTGTGATAGTCTGGAACGGTGACTAGGAGGCTGTACCTGCTCAGTGGAAATGTCCTGTAGGGGCAGAGACCTAAACACAAGGTATCAGGGTGGAGATAGGTAGAGGTTAGTCCAGGTGCCTGCTGCTTTCTCTCCAAAGTACCATAGTCATCATTTTGAGTCTCCCCTGAGGCTTTGGAGCAACCTCCTCACCTGTTAGCTGAGCTGGAGCTGGGCAGATTCTCTTTCTAATACCTAAGCTGTCTTTTGATTGCTAATTTGGCATCGTCAGGCACTTTATTTTAGCTTAATTTTGGGGGATACTCTGAATTGAACCCAGGGCCACTTGCACACTAGACAAGCACCGCCACTGAGTTGTCCCCTCTTCTTTTTCTTTTTTTTTCTTTTGGCACAGGCTCTTGCTAAGCTGCTTTGGCTGGTCTTGAACTTTCAGCCCTTCTGCATCAGCCTCCCAAGTCACTGGGATTTCTGGCTTGTGCCACTATGCATAGACAAATATTTTTATTTTTAAGTAAATTTTTATTTTTGAACAATTTAGTTGTAGAGAAATACTGAGTAGGTAAGTATAGAGTTTTCATATGTTCCCTGTGTGGTTGGCTCTTTTGTTGACACTGATACTTTCTTAAATGTGCTTTATTCAGATTTCCTGTGTTCCCCTTCACATGTACTCTGCCACTGAGATTCCCTCTCCTTCCTCCTGACTGTGCCAGTTTTTCAAACTTAATGTTCCTTACCATTTTGAATAATAATGGTCAGATATTAAATAGAATGTCTCTCAGTTGTATTTTGTCTACATTTTTCTTACAGTTAGCTGAGTTTGTACTTTTTGTAAAGTTAAAGTTATTTCCCCTCCTTCACTGTGTTTTTTGGAAGTCCCTGAGACATGCCCCCACCCCCATCTCATACTAGGGATTGATCCCAGGGCCTTTGCACTAAGCTCAGTTTTACAGATTTTATTTTTAGTGTTTTGCTAAGTTGCTTAGGCTGGTCTCAACTTACCATCCTCCTGTCTCAGCCTCACAGTGCTGGGATTAGAGGCATGTGCCATCAGCTGAGTTGTCCACCAAGTGGGGAGCCCTGTGGTATCACACGCCTGTAGTTGCAGCACTTGGGAGGCTGAGGCAGGAGGATGGTGAGTTCCAGGCTCACCTGGGCTACGTAAAGACACCCTGTTTAAAGAAAATCGGGTCTCTGGGCATTGGGACTTTGTTGGGGGTGAGGCCATGAGGAAGGAGTCTGTGGTGCAACCTGTGGCCGGAACCTGTGGCTTCCAACCAAAAGGAAGAGACAAGCGAGAGGAGAGACCGGCGTGCCTGCTTCAGTTTCCTTCCTGCCTGTCATGCAGCTGTGCTATAGGGCCTCAGGACCTCGCCTTTGCCATGGAGTACGAAGTCCAGCAGCTTGGGCAAGCGTTCAGGTGCAGCCAGTCGAGGCCCCTGCAGTTCTGGCTACAGCAGTTCCAGGCCTTGCAGAAGATGGTGCAGGTGCAGGAGCAGGAGAGGACATCCTGGTGGCCACTGGTGCTGACCTGTGCAAGGAAATGCTGCGATTATCAAGCTTTCTGAATTAAGTGAAAATACAGTCAAGGTCTTGACTAAGCTCCTCCGTCAGTATTTACACCAGGACCTGTGTGCTGTGATTAAATGTGGTGTTGAGGAAACCACAGAGCTTCTGAAGCATCGATTTGACCACATTCTCTATATGGGAAATGCTACAGCTGGAAAAATTGAGCCTAACTTGAAATTTTAAAGTGCTTTAATAAAAGTAACTATAAAAATACTTATTTCTCAGGATCTTAAAGTTGCAAGTTAGTAAGTCTTCAAGGACAAATCTTTTAAAGAATCTCTCATTTCTGTAGCACAGTGCAAGTAATTTTACTCTTTTAAATGTCAGAAAGATGACTTTCTAAAAAATTCAGTTTGGGGGCTGGGGGATTTAGCTCAGTGGTGCCGCCGCCTGCCTCACAAGGGCAAGGACCTGAGTTCGATCCCCGGTACCAAAACAAAAATAAATAAATAAATTCAGCCTGGTGGGAGAGTCATTTCCTGTCAAAGAGGTCTCGGATATTAGGACTTTGGGGCGGAAGAGCCTCACGGGGCATGGGGTTGGTGGCTCATGAGAAATTTGGAGAATAGTCGTAAGTCAGTTGGCCAAACTGAAAGGGAAGGAGAATGGTGAGAGGATCTTCCGAGCAAGTGAGGAGTTATTCTCACCAAAGGTCTGTGTGGCCAAGACTTGAGGTGCTGCAGCCAGGTGGGAAGTGCCAGAGGAGGCCCTTGTGAAATGTGGCATCCTCTGCTGGCAGTGCTGAGCTGGCTGTGGAGCTCAGGCTGCGGGGATTTCACTTCCCTGCTCAGGACTGGAAAGAGACTTGGTCCTTATTTGGTGAGAGAATGTTATTCACTTTATTGAAGGTATAATCAGCTTTTGAATAATTTGTTCTATCAAGTCTCCCTGAAGTGTGTTGTCTTTATCACGGTATGAGAAGTCAAAAATTAATCACTGGCCTAGTTTAGGAATAAATCCCTGAAACTGATTCTAACAGAATAATCCATCATAAAATTTCTTAGAATTTAAATTTGGAATTTGCATTTAATATCTTAAATTGTACATTATAATTTCTAGTTAAGCTAAATTACTGTTTTGTCTACTAACATATTCTGCTCCAAAGTAAATACATTATATTTTATTTAAAAAAACAAAACAAAATGTGGAGCCATGGATTTAACTCAGTGGTTCCACTGCCTGCCTTGCAAGTGCAAGGACCTGAGATTGATCCCCAGTACCAAACAACAACAAATTAAACATAAAAAAACATGGGAAGCTGCATTGTACATGGTTCAGAGTGTTGCAGAGACATAAGTTCTCTGGACTTCTGCACAGCAGAGCTGTCTGTCCTCTGTTCCTTTACCTGTGCCGTCATTATCCTATCAGTATAGGCCCGTACGTGTTGGTTGTGTATTGGGTCAGAAGCGAGCTGCTTTATTGTGTTGAAACATCCTTTCAGCTGGCCCTTTGAGCTCTGTTCCTTGACTCTTACGTTCTTGCCAGCCTCCATCAAGTCAGTAAGGTTTTTCCAAATGAAATGAAATGTTGGATGTCCAGTTGATGACTCTGCAAGAATGAAAGAAGTTGGGCTGGGGACTTAGCTCAGTGGTGCTACCGCCTACTTGGAAAGCACAAGGTCCCGAGTTCTATCCCTGGTACCAAAAAAAAAAAAGAATGAAAGAAGTTAATTAAGTTTTACAGTACTGGGGATTGAGCCGAGGTCCTTTATGTTGAGCTACATTCCCAGTCCTTTTTTATTTTGAAACTGGAATTCCCTAAGTTGCTAAGTTGCCCAGTCTGGGCTAGAACTTTCTGCCTCTGCCTCTGCCTCAGCCTCAGCCTACCAAGTGCTGGGATTGCAGGTGTGCAGCCCCACTCTAAATTAGTTTTGTTGGCACACAGTCATGTTTGTGTGTGTGTTTGTATATTGTCTGGAGCTGATTTCATGTAACATATTGAGCGGCTATAGCTGAGAGTGGATCCCTCTCTGCTCCTCAGCACATTGCAAATCCCAGCGACTTGAAGTAATTTGACAGCATTTCAGGTATCACTTGTATCACTCATCTGGGAAAAACCATGTTCAAAGATGAGATAAGTAAGAATCTTACTACAGATAAGCATTGAAAATAAACATTTATGATAGATTATGATGACAGGGACTGGTCACTTTGAAGGCAAATTAAGCAAAATGTTATTTATCTTTTTGGTACTGGGGATCAAACTCAGTTCCTTGTGCCTGGTGGCAGAACCTGTGAGCTAAATCGCCAGCCTGCAAAATGTTATTTTTAAAAATTCAGTTATGTGTCCTTGTCCCCTCTTCTCACCTTTACCTCCATCAGACCCTGGGCCTCATGCATCCTAGGTAAGTGCTTTACCACTGAGCTACATCCTTAGCTTTTTTAAAGTTTTCTTTTGAGACAGGTCCACAAGCTGCCCTGCTTTAGCTTCCTCAGTGATTGAGATTACAGGCATGTGCCACTACACCCAGCTTATGGTTGGATTCTGTTTTGTTTTGTCTTTTGAGGGAAGATCCCTGTTCCCAGGTAGGTTTTGAACTCTTGGGGTCCTGTGATCATCCCACAGCCTCCCAAGGCAGCTGGGACACTATATCTAACTAGTTCTATTGGGATTTCCCCAGCAGAGTTGTACTAGTTTTTCTTTAGTTCAGTAAATACCTCTGTATCCTTTTGGCCCACAAACCTTAGAATATTCACTGCCTGAGCATTTAAAGAAAGTTCCCTGACCCTGGGTAAATT